CTTACAAATGCATCTAATTCTTCAATCGTGAGATTCATGCTTTCAAGTATGGTTTTGAATTGATATTCTCCATCTTTCTTGGATGATGATTTTTCGGGAAAGATATTTTCACGTAGTTCAGTAATATCCATTGACAACCTAAAAGGAAATTTTATTCATAAAATTTAAAGTTGAATCAATCTACGTTGGAAATTTTTTGTAATTATAGAGAGATTTTTACTTACGCGTATAAAAATACCATGCACAACACATTATTTTCTAAATCATTAAACACAACTGTTGTGGTGTCAAACGTAAAGGTGCTCATTAAGTTGATAAGTTCACGTTCTATACCGGCGGTAATTGCAAGATGTTTTCTGAGAATATGATAACTGATTATTTTTGTTTTAAAAAAAAAAAATTTAGTCGGATGAATGTATTTTAGAATTTTAAATAAAATTCACGTTCACTAACCATTCAATAATTTTCTCGGAAAAGATTTGAATTCTCATTAACGCATTCTCATTCGTTATGGGTTGGCGCCAAGTAATCGCATCATTGCCTTCTGTGAATTGTCCATCTATGCTCTTAAAATATCGTCTTGTATTTGGCGTGGCCATTCTATCCAAAGCTGTCCATATTGTGCCAAATAATGACATTTGTAACTTGACTCTCTTTTTTTTACGAGCTTGCTTTTCAGGTGAAGGTGGTTGTTGTGTTTTATTCGATTTCTGTAAACTTTTAGGTGAATCATCCACAGAATCTCGAGAACCTTTACATTCAATAGATGTTGGTTGATTAACTAATTCTTTATTATTTTTCATTGAATCAATTGTCTTTATTGAATTTGAATTAGATATCATATTATCAGGAACAATTTTATGATCCTCATTATCTTGGTAATGAAATTTTCCATTACGAAACATAGAATTGGCCAGCGACATTGCCATTTCATAATCTTCTTCGTCTGTTTTTGGCGTCTTGTCCTTTACGACTTGAACCTCTTTTGATAATATTAACGTAGTTGGCTTAATATCACTATCTGAAATCGATAATCCTTGAAAACCTATACGAAATCCCTCAATAACATCATGCGCGTTAGCATCATTAGTGAAAATTGGCGCGGATGGAGCTTCGATTTCTTTATCATTTTTTTCCTTTATGATCAGTCCAGGAGGAGCAGGTGGAAGGTTAGCAAACATATCTTTAACATAAGTTGATTTGCGATCATCTTCTTTAATGAATGGGTTAATCGTGGATTTTTCTTTCTTAATGATTTCTCTATATGAAAGGGTCATACATCAATAACATACCTAAAATACATGAAAATATTGGTTATAATATTTATTTATCAAATACCTTAAATTTATTCCTAATGGTATAACATTGATTGCTTTCCAATTTTCCAAATTTCTCAAATAAACGGGTTCCTCGGATAATTGTGTCATAAAAAATTTGGAAGAAGTAAAACACGCAGTTGAACAATAACATTTTAACTCGGAAATATCATAAATTTTCCTTGCCCGGTTAGAAATTCTAAATTGTCCTTGAATTTCCTGTAATCAAATAACAACATGAGCAATAATATAAAAATGTTATCATAAATTGAATTAGAAAGGAAGCAAATAAATATTATGTACTTGACGATCTTTGTTACAAATCGGGTACCCACACAAGTTATCTGCATTCCTTTCTTCAACGATCTCAAAGTAATGTTGCGGTAACAAATACTTTGCCTATGAGTAGTAAATAAATATTCCTGATCAATTATTTATAATTGCAATAAAATAGTGAACTTGTTGAAAAAGAAAATGGTCCATATACCGATTCTCGCAATACGTTTATGTCAACAGTTTCGAACAATTTTTCTTGCCATTCTGAAGATAACTCTTCAAATTTCTTGCGAAGTTCAAAACTTTGTTTAACCAACTTCTGCTTGGTTGTCAATTTATTGACCTTTTTTCGAGCAGAAGACTGTAGATCGCTCGTGTTCTCGTTTGAAAACTTGACTCGACGTCTAGATTTTTCGGGTGATTTCTTTCGCTCATGTTTTTCCAATGTTAACGACATTTTGCTTGCATTAAAAATTCACACCCAATTTAAAATAAGTAAATCATTTCATCATTCAAAAAAAAACCATCTAGAAAATCTACAAATTTGTCCAACTCGTGTAATGTTCCCTGCATTGAACTAACCATAAAAATATAACGATAATAAATTTCCCCTTAAACTTGTACCATTTACTTTATCATTATGGTAATTGATCTTATAATTCTTTATATTATATGTATGAATTATTTACAAGTATCATGAATAAGAGATTAGTTAGAATCATTTACGAAATTTAACGACGTTCTTAATAATTCTTTCAAAGTAGAATTAGTTTATTTATTTATTTATTTTATTTAACGAACTTTTTATAGCTTTAAATATGTCTTCTCGTTGGGGTGGTTCTCCACAATGTCCACGTTGCAAAAAGGCTGTATATATGGCCGAACAAGTAAAGAATTTTTAAAAGTTAATTTTAGAATACTTAATACCGGTTAACTTATTCTTAACTTTATTATTATAGGTTATTGGCCCGAATGGTCCATGGCATAGAGGCTGTCTTACTTGCATTGTAAGGTTTAGAATCTCGTTTACAACTTAAATCCAAGAATTAGCTGATAAACAAGTTTATTTTTTAGGATTGTAAAAAAAGGTTGGATTCTTATGTCCTAGCAGAGCATGAAGGAGAGGTTAGTTTTCTTAATTATAATGGTAATTTATATTAAAAATAACGAGCTTAATCATGTTAAATTTATCAATTAGGCATATTGTAAAACCTGTCACGGGCGTCATTTTGGGCCAAAAGGTAAAAATTATGCACGTTATTATACAAATAATTGAATGATATTTTAATTATAATCTTGATCTCCAAGGTTATGGATATGGCTCAGGAACTTCATTCTTAAATACCGACCGACCTATCAAAAAACCAAGTAATGAATCAACCTCGGACAAGATATCTCAATCACCACCTAGGTCATCAACATCACCATCGGGATTTTTCAGTTCTAGGCCTCAATCACCTAGAAATGCGAAGCGCGGTTGGACTCTTCCAGTCAATAATGATATATGTCCACGCTGTTCAAAGGCTGTTTTTGCAGCTGAAGCGGTAAGTTTATTTGATTTTACATATCTACCGTTCATTTCTTATATATATTTACATATTTACATACATATATATATAGGCGTTAGGTGCCGGAGTTAAATATCACAAATTATGTTTACGTTGTGTTACTTGCGATAAACTTGTGAGTTCTTCAAATATGGCAGACCGAGAAGGCAAGATTTATTGCCGGTCATGCTATTCTAAAGACTTTGGTCCAAAGGTATTATAAATTTTTGAGCTTTTTTTTTTTTAAAAAAAAATTATTCATAATTATTGAAAAATTTTAGGGATACGGATATGGTAACGGAGCAGCATTTTTAACCACCGAAGGAGCAGCTACCTGATCATTCTGATATTTGATTGCAAGTGATCCTTAGTTTATTACTATCCCTAATTAAAATATGACTTTTTTATTATTATTATAAGTATTATATAAGTATGTATTTTTGGTCATGTATTTCTTTTTTTTTAAAAAAAAAATTAAAGAAATAATAAGTTATAAAAGTTAAAAACAAATTTTTTTTTCACTTGATAATCGAATATTAATCGATTACTGTCAACTATAATAATATAATTGAGTTAATTGACTTATCAAACAAATCCTTTAGGAAACATTAACATCTTTTATCTTTATTATCCGAAGCTTTAACTTTTTCAAGAGATCACATGATTTATAATAGTATTGCGCCGATCATTGTTTAATTTTTCGCGTACTATTAACTCGTATAACGTATCTACGCGAATAATCAAAACTCGTCTCTTATATCATTCATATCGGACTTGTTAAATAGCAGAATTCCCATAAAATAATTTTTCGATTTGATTTCAAAAAAAAATGAAGAAAAGTGAGTATTAAAAATGTGTGTAAAAAAAAGTTCCGAGTTTTTCCTCGTGAGTTTAAATGTGGGATGGAAGTTCCTCCCCGCGAAGAATGAGTATGGGGTGACTCTCCCCGCGAGAATTTATGTAATATGCGTGGGATGACCCTCCCCGCGAGAATTTAATGTAATGAGCGTGGGATGACCCTCACGCGAGAATTAAATGTAATGTGCGTGGGATATCCGTCCCACGAGAATGAGCGTAGGTTAAACTCTCCCCGCGAAAATTTTAATGTAATGAGCGTGGGATGACTCTTCACGCGAAAATTTATGTAATGAGCGTGGGATGACCCTCCACGCGCGAGAATTTAATGTGCGTGGGTTAACCGTCCCCACGAGAATGAGCGTGGGTTAACTCTCCCCGCGAGAATTTATTGATAATGAGCGTCCCGGAAGTGCCATGTCCCTTTCTTAAAATTTTTTTGAGAAGGTCTACTGATTCCGGCGAAGGAATCGGTTATGTAACTTCCTTTGTAACATTCATAAAATTTTTATAGAATTTAAAATACTTCAGTGTTGTCACAAACAAGGGATCTCAGTCATGTTTGAAGGAGACGTGTCAGGTTAAAATTTCGAAGCCTTTGAGAAATGGTCAACTTAAATTTTATACACGTTATCTAGAAAAATAATACTACTAAACATTTAAATTTCGTTTAGAATCGGTTCCCACAGAAACGTTAGGCATATAAAATTTTCTTATTTCTACATAAGTTGTTTATTAAAAATTTATTATTTTTTTTAACTGGAGCATCAAATTTTCGACAATAAGATATTAAATAAATTGAAAAATAAAAATTCTTTATATTTATATTTGAAGATCAAAGCAAATATATTACTGGATAGAAAGTAACTCTGTGAAACATGATTTTCCTGATGAAGATATTCAATCAAAATTTACTTTGAATCAACCAATCATGAAAAAAAAAAAAAAATTTTTTTTAATATTTAGGTCAAAAAAAAAATTTTTTTTTAAAACCTTTTTTTTTACCATGACTTCGGTTCCAACTCTACCTTCTTCAAATTGGCAAAAACTTAAATCCGTACGTTATACTCTTTGAATTGATTTTATTTATTCTTGAAATAATTAATAATCACATCAAATTTATTTTTTTTTTTTTTTTGTTTTTTCTCTTTATTAGAAAATTGTTAAAGAAACTACTAAAACTAATAAAAATAAACGAAAGCGTAATGAAACGGATTACAAATCAAATAAAAGTGTGAAAACAAGGTAATTTAATTTAATATTATAATCTGTAATACCTTTACAATTAATTAAAAATTTTATATAAGAAAATTATTTTTTTTTCGTAGCTCAAATGGTTCGTCAACAAATGTTATAACGACTCAAATAAGTGACTTATGGTTCGATGATATTAAAAAAAGAGGATTTAATCAAATGAATGAATCCTCCTCAAGAGAAAGTTCATTAATTTCAGAAGTTTCCTCTACAAATAATAAAACAAAGTAATTATTGACTTTTTTTTTGTATTTCTATTCTTTTGTTTTTTCTTTATTTTTTTTTTAAAAGAAAATGAAACTTATTTTAATTAAAATCAGAATTGGGAAATATATTGCAATTGATTGTGAAATGGTTGGAGTTGGAGCTGGTGGAGTTCAATCGGCTCTTGCAAGAGTGACGATAGTAAATTACTATGGTGTAATAATATTAGATAAATATGTCAGACCTATAGAAAGAGTTACTGATTTTAGAACTGAAATTAGTGGAATTACACCAAAATTATTAGTAAATTGTAAGTAAATTTATTTAATTATTTTTAAATAGTTTACATATCTATTTTCTTTTTTTTTTTTAAAAAAAAAAATCAACCATTCATGAATTTTTTTTAGCACACGATTTTAACCAAGTCCAACAAGAAGTTTACAACATAATTAAAGATAGGGTAGTAATTGGACACGCTCTTCACCATGATTTTAAAATGTTAATGTTAGATCATCCACGTAAGATGATACGTGATACTTCGTTATATGAACCATTTCGTCAAATTGCTAAGGGAAAAACACCTTCATTAAAACGTCTTGCAAGTGAAGAATTAGGAATGACAATTCAAACGGGAAGACACTCCTCAGTACGTAGATTTTTTAAATGACGATCATTCTAATTGATTATGATATGATTATTAATGATTATTAACTTATTGTTTATCGATTTTTATTGATTTAGGTTGAAGATGCACAAGTTTGTATGTTATTATATCGTAAACATAAAGAACAGTGGGAACAACGAAATTTTATAAAAAAATCAAAAAAAAACTAGTAATAAAAATTTAAGAATCGGGGAATACCTTTTTTTTTTTGATTACGATAATCCAATTAGCTAATTAAGTCGTCACGTGTACATGCAAATAAAAAAGATTTCGCTTTGTTTTATCAATCATACTTTTTATTTTCAAATGGATGAGTCGAATAAAATACATTTACTGACGAATGCGTTGTATAGAACTTTGACAGCGCCCGAGGGTACGACCGTTGAATTTCCTGAGTTAGAGAATGTATTTAATGCTCGAAGCACAGAATCTTCCAGTATAACTAGCACTACTAGTACTAGTACCAGTAGTACTAGTACTAGTACTACTACTACTACTACTACTACTACTACTACTACTATTCAACGACCTCCTTTAAAAGTCAATATTTTTGATTTTGATGGGACTTTGTTCTCTTCACCAGAACCAAACTCGGAAATATGGGAAAATCGGTTGGTTGGTATGTTGAAAGAAGAAAATAAGGTCTATAAAGGATGGTATCAAGATAAACGGTCACTTGATATTGAAACGGGAAATAGGTGGAATAATAGACTTGTTGAAACAGTCAAACTTTCAATGAGAACAGAAAACAATTTAACGGTTTTATTGACAGGTCGAAATTTCGACGAGTTTAACGATATGATTACGGAAATGGTTGAAAGGAAAGGAATGAAATTTGATGTGATGGGTTTTAAACCATCTAATAATAATCTTGATTGGCAATCATACTATAAGACTCATATTATTAAAACTGTAGGCAATGACATTTATCAAGAGATTATTATGAAAAAAAGAACGATAAAAAGAATTCAGAAATTAACAACAAAAATATTCAAAACCAACTTTATTGAAGATTTGATTTTGCATCACCCTTCAACCATTTCAATAAATATATGGGAAGATCGTTACCCCCATTTGAAAGCATTTGAAAAATTTCTTAGAGATTTGAAAATTCTCGGGAAGATTAAAGAAGGAAACGTTCATAAGGTGAATCTTTCGAAGATTCATCTTGAACCTTTCGCCGAATATGATCTAGTGATGGGTATGGTAAAAGATCATAATGAACACAATGTTATGAACAGGATTGGTATCGTAAGGAAAATTCAATATGCGGGAATCTTTTTTGATGATCATGTGATTGATCAATTGAAGAAGACCTTTCCACCTCCTGAAACTTATGGGGAATGGGTTTTTGAAGGGTCATTCATTCATATTAGAACCAATACAAATAACGAATGGCTAAATTCAAATTGTGGAGGTAGAGGGGCCATTGTGACGATGAGAGTTACAGCTGTTGGTATATATCAAGAACGTATTTATTGTTTGCGAGTGAGTGAATATGAAAATAGCCAAGCAAGAACCCCTCAAGGTATGCGCAAAGGTAGATTGTATAGCGATTGTCCGGTAGCTTTCATCAATTTCGCCTATGTTAAAGATAGCGGAGGATTTGCTAATAATACGGAAATATTTAATTTTAATTGGGTACCAATTGAACATGAAAAACAACTTGTTATTCAAGGGGTAATTGCAGCCAAGTTCATTCTTGGTTTAGCTTGAATTCTTTTTTCAACACATATTTATTGCGCTAAAGAATTAATTATAGATAAACTTTTTTTAATTTAATGATGTTGCTCTTTAAGTTTCTTGTTCAACAGAGCTAAATAAATATAAAAGTTAGTTCGATTATTAAGTCAATATTAATGTCCAATAGGTAATTAATTAAATCGTGATAACTAAAAGAAAATACCTCTTGGATTACGAGGATCGGTATCAAAAGGTGGAACTATAAAAACAATAATCATTTGATTTAATTAAAGGTTAACGCATTCTTTTTAACAACTTACAAAAGAAATATAACATACTCGATCGCGCTACATTTTCAATTTTATTAACAGTGTATAGCACAATGCCTGCGGTAATAATAAAAGGTGCCAATGGCTTTACAATTGGAGTTGGAAAACTACGTCTTCCAAGCAATGCCATATTCGTTTATTCTTTCCGTAATTATACTTTTTCTGTGTGGAATGAATTATTATTGTGAGAAATATTTTATTATTTATTCCCCCCAAAATTTTTTTTTTTTTTTTTGAAAATGTTTTAAATCCAATTTATAACAATTTTCATCGTCGTACACGTGCCCGCATTCAGAAATGACTTAAACTATAAAAAGGATTCATTGTCACTTTTTTAAACTTGCCCGAAAAAAAGACGAATCTCAAAAAGTCTCTATTTAATACAATCAATCATGTCAGAAGAAACGATTAACGCATTAAATACAACGATTTCAACAGAAAACGAAGCCGATCTACAGTTAAGCAAGTATGATCCAAATCTATTAATCTATTATTTTCAGCTTAAAATAAAACAGACGTTTAAATATTTTTTTTTTTAGTTCTGAAGCCGAAGATTCAAATTTAGATCCAAGCAAAGAATTCGATAAACATGATTCCCAGCATGGTACCATGGCAGTTATTCTTTTAGCTGCTTTATTTGGGTTTCAGTTGTTGATACTTTATTGGAAGTCAAAACATTATCGGTCTTTTCAAGCAGTCACTTTGTTTGGATTATGGTTAGTAAATAGCGCAGTTTCATTTCGGAAACATATATAATTATTTAATTACTTTCCTTCCTCTTCAATTGATTTTAGGTTAATACCGATGTATCTGTTTGGACTTCAAGCACATTTTTGGAGATTTTTGTCAATTTGGGTCTTATATTCAATTGCTAATTCATGGGGTAGAATATTTATTCTTTGTAAATTGGATTCAGATATTAATATACAATTTAACAACTTATTTTGATTGTAGTGTTATATTTGGCATCAAGAAAACCATTGGATCATCAGACTCCAAAGTATATATATATATATATATATATATTAGCACAGTATTATTAGATATATATATTGTAATAATAATATTCTTTTTTTTTTTTTTTGATTTTTAGGCTAGTTTATAAATGGTTTTCAGTTGTTTATAAAGTATCATATGCTGTCGGCATAACTGGTTATACTATAATTATGTTATATTTTTTCGGACTTGTACAATTATTTTATTCGGGCACTGATGGATTTGAATTAGGAACGATACTTTTAAGTTATGGATTATATTTTGGGTATACATATATTTTATACATTTATTTTATTTTTTATTTCGAGTTTATGTTTTCTTTCTCTTTCTAACCAAATAAATTTATTCAATCCAGAGTTTTGAGTAGGGATTTTGTAGAAATTTGTACGGATAGAATGGCATCGACACTTGGATATTATAATAAGGATGGGTTTCCAAGAAAACATTTAAGAGCAAATATATGTGCAATATGTGGTGTTGCCGCTACTGGGACTAACAATAATACAAATAATAATGAAAATGGCGATCAAGACCACAAGGTATTTCAGTTGGCCTGTAGACATGTTTTTCACGATGATTGTATACGTGGTTGGTGTTTAATAGGAAAAAAGGATATTTGCCCTTACTGGTACGTAAATTCGAGTTTATCTTCCTTGTTCTTTGTACAAAAATTTTTTATTAATCATATTTATTTATATGTTTATAGTAAGGAAAAGGTTGATTTAAAGGAGTTCAAAACAAATCCGTAAGTAATTATTTATTTTAAATGAATAATTTGTCGAGATTACCTATTAATTTTAATTCTATTTTATAGATGGGACACTCAGCAGCAACTTTATCTAAGTTTACTTGATGGTGTAAGATATTTAGTTGTTTGGCAACCTGTAAGTTTTAACTCATTTTATATTCATAAGTTTGCTTTTCATGAAAAAGATGCATCTTAATATAATTAATTCACAATTATTTGTACTTAGGTAATTTTTGCATTTGTACAATTAGCTTATCATATATTTGGTTTAGAATAGAAAATCATAAAATTAATAGAGCCTACTTATATATAATATTAGTAAAAAGTATATATAGGATTCTAAATTTCCTTTTTTTTTTTTTATTGAAAACTTAATATTTATTAAATATAGAAAGTGAATCCTTTATAAAATTATTTCGTATGTAATTTTATAATTTTTCCTTTTCTTTGACTAATAAAACGTGTACTTATTTTAATCGCCGATTTTCATTGGTTAAAATTTTTTGCATCCTCGTGATTTATCAATAAAATTTCTTACAAGTATATTCCGCATCTTAAATCTACTTTATTTTCACTATTTTTCATAATGGATTTGTTTAAAATTCTCGGTAGTGGTGCAAGATTTAATAAAAATCGATTTAATGAAGATATTACATTATTTGAGGTAGTTCAATATGTTTGATTAATATAAGAAAATATTTACTTTAGCATTAAAAAATATTATTTTTTTTTTTTTAATTATAGCCTTCGAATAGATCGAAGAAAGTTAATGAAACAGTTGATAATAAGTCAGATACACAAATGGACCTTATACAAGAAATTGACTTTTTTCATAATAGTAAAAGTGCAATTAATGAGACTTTAGGCATATCCAAAAGCAAAACAAAAGAAATAACGGAAAGCCTAGAAGAAGTTCAAGAAGAAGGTAATCGATGTTTTTATTTGATGATCAATTCAAATAATTGGTCCGATTATTGATGTTTTTCGTCTTTTAGAAGAAGGAATTGAACAAGAAAGTAATGAAGATGACGATGACCATGACAATGTTGATGATGAACATGATCAAACCGACTTTAATTCCATGGATGATGTAATTACAATGTTTGATTCTATTTAACTTTTCTACACTTTTGTTAATTAAAATTCATTGATATAGGTTAAAGTGTTTCGCAAGCGACATCGAATTCGCGTTTACGGAACGGATATTCCAAATCCATTTGGTTCATTCGATGAACTTGAGTCGAAATATGATTTTCAATCATATATTTGTAAGAATTTAAAAAGCTTTTCATATGTAAAACCAACTTCAATTCAAATGCAAGCCATCCCTATTATGATCCATGTATGAAGTAATATTATAGATATATTATTATTATTATTTTCGGCACACTTATATATTTGTTTGATATATTTATTTTATAAGGGAAGAGATTTAATGGCTATGGCGCCTACTGGGTCAGGTAAAACGTTGGCCTATATTTTGCCGATCTTATATAATTTGAAAGGTCCAGAAAAAATGGGATATCGTGCGTTAATTATTTCTCCGACAAGAGAACTAGCACAACAGGTACGTTTTTTAAATATCAATCTGATGTAAAGATCTCATAATCTATTAATACTTTTTTTTTTTTAGATTTACAGGGAGATCAAAAAAATGAGCATCGGAAAGAAATTTAAGATTTGTATGTTAACGAAAGCGACTGCGTCCACACAAGCACAGGCGCCTCAACTAAGAGAAAAATTTGGTAAGTTTACTTTTTAAATTTTCCATTTGTAATTATTTTCAATTTGATTCATTTTGACCCTTTTTTTTCAAATCTACGGATTAACAAGATATTTTGATTAGTACACCACTTCGTCTGGTTCATGCAATTCAAGAAGAAAACATTGAATTAAAAAAGTGGGTTATAGTGGATTACTTTCTTTTATATATGCATTTATTATGTTCATTACATTAATATATATACCTTTTGTGAATTTCCTTATAGCGTGCGTCATCTAATCTTAGATGAAGCGGATAAATTGCTTGAATTGGGATTTTTAGAACAAACTGATGAAATATTTGCCGCCTGTTCTAATATGAAATTACAAAAGTCATTATTTAGTGCAACACTTCCTTCAGGTGTTGAAGCATTGGCCAATAATTTTATGAAGGATCCCATTAGAGTTGTAGTAGGCTTGAGGTAATTGATCAATGATCTTAATATTCTCCTTGGGGGATGATTAATAATTTGTGACAAGATAAAATGATAAGTTTAGAAATATTAAATACTTAGACGAATTTTTCTTTCCATTATAGAAATGCAGCTACGGAGACGATTAAACAAAAACTTGTCTATGTAGGACAAGAAGAAGGAAAATTAATAGCTATTCGACAATTGATACAAGAAGGGCTTAAACCGCCAGTATTGATCTTTGTACAATCTATTGAACGAGCAAAAGAATTGTTTCATGAACTAATTTATGATGGTATCAATGTAGATGTTATACATTCTGAAAGAACGAAGGCTCAAGTAAATTCAACATTTTTTTTTAAATTTGGATCTGCTGATTTTTTTTTATATATGTTTTAAGTAACATTCTTTCCTTTTTTTCATAAAATATATCATAATAATAGAGAGATTCAATTGTATTAAAGTTTAGACAAGGAAAAATATGGGTATTAATAGCTACAGAATTAATGGCTCGTGGTATGGATTTCAAGGGTGTTAATTTGGTTATCAATTATGACTTCCCACAATCTGTGCAAAGTTATATTCATAGAATCGGTAGAACTGGTAGAGCTGGTAGAGCTGGTGAAGCCGCGACTTATTATACAAAAGATGATGCTCCTTATCTAAAGAGGTAATAAATTTTTTTTTTAAAAAAAAAAAAAATATAGTTTTTATTTTAAAATAACTTTTGAAAAAAAAATTCTTTTGAAATAGTATTGTGAATGTAATGAGAGATTCGGGATGTGAAGTACCAGAATGGATGATTCAATTAAAAAATCCTTCAAAAGTTTCTAAACAGCAATTACGTAAAAAGCCTATAGAACGTAAAACCATAAGTACAAGATCTGCTTATGATATTAAAAAAATGGAACATAAAAAGTAAGTATCTTTATATGTCGTTTTAACCTTATATTATGATTATTGTTATATCTATTGTTAAAAAATTTTTATTTTGTTGTTATAATTAGAGAAATTATTGAAGCTTCAAAAAAACGAAAAGCTCGTAAATTGGCTTCTACCGCAAATAAATATGGCGATAAAGATAAAAAGGAAGACATAGGTCAACTCAAAAATGATGATAAAACAAAAAATAATATATTGACATCATCAAAACCGTTGCCTTCAAATAAGAGGAGAAAACGTAGTAGTGAAAAGGACAAGGATTAGATTTATTTATCATTAACAATCATATAAACGACGCGACTTATGTAATTTAAGTTTTTAAATAATAATGATTTATAATAAGAATTTAAAAAAAAATTTTTTTAATATTAATTCATATTACAAATATCTAAATATTTTAACCATTAAAAACTTGATCTAAGTATTTGGAATAATCATATCCATCAGTAACGCCTAAACTGAGTGGCATGGTTTCTTTTAAGTATGATACAACATTCCCTGGTAATAAAGATCTTTTTAAGTCTAATTCAGTAACATATGGCTTATCTCCAGCAACAACTTTAAATGATTGTCGAAGTTGATCCGGTGATGTTTTATCTTCTGTTACATTAATCATAAAAATAATAAACTATAAAAAAAAATAGAGGGTTAATAATCGGGGAATTTTGTTGCATAGTCTCCGCGTAATCCAATATTTACCTGTTCGAAGGTAGCTTCAGATTGTCCTTCACATGTTTGGTTAAACGTGGCATACAATTCATCATCCTATTCAACAGTACAATTAATCTAATAAATCCAAGTAAAAAGGTACAAAAAAGAAAATTTAACTTACATCATAAAGGAGACCTAAACTAGCCAAAGCTGCTTTAAATTCATAAGCATTTAATGTATTTGAACCATCCTTGTCAAAATGACGGAAAGTACTTTCAAATTCTTCCAACTGTGCCGGCGTTAAATTTGTCATACTCCTTGACACGATCTTTATGATATTTATTTATTGTTATTGTTTTAGTTGATTTTAAAAAAAAATTTAATTAAATAAAACAAGCATAAGTATAAAAACCATAATCGCATAATAAAAACATTCTTATTAACCTGATTTTCAATGAATGCGGATTTCTTATTAACAGATTGTTTTACAAGTTCCAATTCGAATTTTAAATCATCTACTGAAAATACGGAATAATCATTTTCTTCAATATTAGCTTCATGACATTGTGCATCAATTTCTTCAATACGTGAGAGAGAATTTTCCAAGGGTCCTAAGTTAGCAGAAAGTTTTTTCACATTTTCAAGTTGTACGTCTAATTCTCCGTCTAATTTCGACAATACTTGCAATATAGAATCCAGACTTTTCTGAAAACTATTTGCTGATTGAGCAAATGATTTACGAAGATTCTCCTTAATGCTATAAAAAAATAAATGTTTAGTATTTTGATAAGAAATTTAAAGGCAACCGTTTATTGATTGATACCTACTCTCTGATTTTATCATTAATAGATTTGTATCTTTGGGCTTCGGCACTTAATAAACTTTGCCATACTTTATCTAAATCGAATAAAGTTAATCCTGCAGGAGGATGATAAGGTTGTAATACATATGTTTTAAGTTTGGTCTGAATATTTCCAAGTAATGTATCTAAATCACTTTTTTCTGCTACCCATTCACGTTTTTCGGAATTTTTATATCTATTAAATTCGGCAGATTGACGTTTAGCATCGGTATAACTTCCATCAAAACGCGAATTAGCCCAAATGGTTTTCCTATCGTTAACTTTTTGCATTAACTTAATAATGATTTAAAAAAACAAATTAAATATATCATTTAGAAACGTTCTTGTGATTCTACAGTTACAAATACCTGTTTGACGCGTCGTTCATAATCATGTTCCATATCCCAAACGGATTGCATAACCTCTGCAAATTTTGCTACTCTTCTCCCAGCAATTTCCACTTTATCTGTTATCCAATATATAAAATTACATACATTTTATTAAATACATATAAAGCTAAGAAAAAAAACCAATAATTAATCTGACCTAAATGTGAAAATGCATGAAAGTATGAAGCAACGTAGGTCATAATTGATCGTTCATCAGGTTTTTGAATGTCACAAACATCTTCTACATCTAACAATTTCTAGATGGATAAATACAAATATATATATATTTCGAGCATTATACGTAAATTAATTATTTATTACTTTATAAGTAAAAAAATTCCAAATACCGGTATGTCAAGATGCATTGCCGCTATATCAAATGCTAAAGCAGTATTTGTATGACGGTCCAACTGAATCGCGTGGAATACTCGTTATCAATAAAATTAAAAATAATTTTTTTTTCAAATTTTCGAATATAATTTAAATATTCACCTTGTCTAACGCGTCATAATCTAATAAATCAGGACGATGTCGATGTATTAAAGCACAGCTAAAATTAAAATTTGTTATAAATAAATCTCCACGCATTTAATAATTGTCATCATAAAGTAATTTAATTTCACTTACAATGCCAACCCATCCTGCCAACTTGTCACGTAAAATAAATTTAACATTATTATCATAATTTACAAATGATATTTAGTCTAAAACAATCTTTACCTATAAGTAAAATCACGCACATTAACCTCGGAATAAGGAGCCGTCTTTCTTTGACACCAAAGTAAAAGACCCTCCTTAGCTGTAAGACCCTCTTCACTAAGTTTATCATCAAAGAAATTATCAAATAATATTATACATATAAACGTGTAAAGGAAATCGCCTTGTAATTTCACGAACCTAATATCGGCAATCGTGAATCTCAAAATTATAGTCCAGATCATACCAAGAATAAGTTTAAGATTAGTATCAACAATATCTGGTAATAAGAATTTAATTTATTAAGTTAATAACGCACAAATTGAAAAATGTATCTTGCGTACAATTAGCAATAATAATAGGTTATTTTCTTTCTATTGTTAGATATTACACACGATTAGTTCAAATTCGCGTATGATTTTGCAATATGTTTAAGTAGATATACCTTCAGCTCCAATGTTTGTAAGAGCAACACCTCTATGTTTGATAAATTCTAATGATTTATTCACATTCTCGACTCTTTGAATACGCATTTTTGGATTTTTGTTATATTTTCCTAAGGAAGTATCTCCAATAATTTCCTAATAAACAAAGAAAATTCCACCTCGCGTTCATAAAAATTCAGGTATTCAGAGGTGTCAATCAATTATTAATTGAATCTATTGCATCTTTCAATTCTCTTGTCATGATCGATTGACAAAGTTGATCAGTCCAAGATGAATATCAATGGCATTATCCAATCTTTAATTTGACCGACATATATATCAATTTCAAATTGTATGGTTTTAAATTGCTCACCAAAAGTTGAATTAACCGAACTCCATCAGACATTGCACGATTCAAATCGCTAATTGAATCTATGTCCTTAATAGCCAATTTGCTGTTTACCCTGTTAAAAATGTGAATTAAAATTATTAATTTTTCAAATACATCATAAAGTGATATTCTCACAGTTAATACACCAACCATTTCGTAAAGGTTTTCTCTTGAATGTTTTCCCAAGTTCTGTCCATTACCTTCGCTATTGAAAATTCAAAGAATTTATTATATATGCTGGAAAGTAAAAAAGTTACTCTTCAATAAAAAACGAAGTTATCCAAGTACCAGTATCTTCAACAACCTGCTGGGAAGCTGGGGACGGATTAAAACTTTGTGACATTTTTATATAAGGTCATTCAAAAATTCAAAGAAAAATAATTTACTCGAAAGAACAAGCGAAGTGAAAATCAACAATCGCGCAAGTTTAAAGGCACACGATATCACGTGCTAATGACGATTTTATTGTGTCATACTTTTCGAAAAATTCTAAAAAAAAAAAAATTTTTTTTCGCGTAATGAATGCGGTAATTTTTTTTTGCTATAAATTTATTTTTCGCGAATTTTGAACTTACACGTAATTATTTACAGCTTGACCACATTTTACATTTTTGTGAGAAATATCCACAAGAAGCTGCTTATCTTTCTCAAGTATACCTTGACTTGACAAAAGGCAAATAACTGCTTGATGTTATTACGTATGTTTGAACGTATTTACACATATTTTTTTTTTTATTTTTTTCTAGTAAAAATTTGGAGCGAAGTCAAAGTTGTAGAAATTGGACCTTTACAAAGATGTGTGATATTTGGCAAGGCGAATACAGAGGTGATAAATAATTTTTCTCTAAATTTCCAACTAAATAAGAAATGAAATTTTTTCTTTTTTTCATAATTCTCATTCTTATCCACATCCATTATGATTATAGACGGAAACTCAAATAATCGTTCCGTGTTCCTCCTCTGAATCATGGTCAATTGGACGGTGAGTGTAATTATACGTATTAAATTTTGTAAATTATACCATTATAAAAACATTATTACCATTTACAGCATATCATTGTTCTTTTCTTCGCTACAATCATTTTTGAATGAGCCTTTATATAAAAGGTTTGCTCTTTTCTTTGTTATTTAAAAATATAAATATTAAATATACTAAATATATACAGAGTTTTCATAGTTTTGTACAATAAATTTACATTTAATATACATGTAAAGTGTGAATTATTCTATAGTTTAAATTATTATTATATTGGTTTACAAATTTTCTTTAAAATTTAAATATTTATATATACAGTGTCACTCTTGCCATCACATTCCCCGACTCAACGGTGGTTTATTATAAAGTTCACGAAGGAATTGTTCCTCCGACTAATAATATATGAAGAATGTGTCGGTTGAATTAAAGAGAAGAGCAACAATACTGAAGATGGTTGAAAAATGAATGATTAAAATAGGTTTTTTTTTCGATTGTTTCAGAGTAAATGAAAGTATGATAACAAATTGTCTAAAAGCAAATTATATGCTTCTTTCTTAATTGCATGTTAAATGAGACGCTCCCTCCAATTGAATTAACTGGTAAAATACCCAGCATGTGCCTTAATTTAATTATGAACCAAAAAAAAGTAGATATATATATATATATATTGAATATATATAATATTTATAACAGATTTGAAAGAAATAAACTAAGAAATAATGCCGTCATAAGTGTTGCTAATATATATATAAATAGCAACCACAATTCTACAGGATATGTTGGATAAATTATATATGCTACATATATTGGGGTGAGAGATATAAAGAATTTGGTAGATGTCCCCAATAACAATCCATTTTGCGTATTAAATAATATGCCATCCAAAATAAAATAATATTGATGACCAAAATTTACTGGTTTCCAAAATGTGGTTTACATTTCCAAAGCTGCACCTAACAAATCTCACAATCCCATATTATCTTGATCGTCGCGGCTGAGGTGGGGGTGGAGGACTATTTAAAAATCTTCTATTTCCACCTCCGTAAAATTGACCATATGGAATTTCACCATATCCACCATCATAACGCGGAGGAGGATGTGGTAGTTCACCATAAGGAGAGAGTCCAAAGTTCAAATGATGTATTTGCATAGCATTATAATATCTAGTAGGATCTCCCGTATCATATGGCATTCCATACATTGGATTAGCATTTTGCCCACGATTTCCTCTTGGTGGATACCTTATACGTCCATCTAGTCCAATTATTTGTTCTTCTTCTATTGGGTATCGTCTTTGTTGTCTTGGATGTTGTTGACGTATTTCATTATTATTATGTCCTGAGAATTGTTGTTGAGATTGTATTTCCCGTCTTTTGTTCCCATTAGTTTCTTTTTTGCTATCTTCAACTGGAACCTGATCTAGAGTTCGTTTATTGGGAAGAGAATTATCAATTGGACTTGGCGTTAATAATTCTTGTTCTTTTTGTTTTTTATTTCGAGATGTTCCTGTCGATGTCGCACGAGCGGAATTATCTGGCAGGGAAGAAAGCGATACTTCAGTTTTTTCTGATTTCGCCAGGTTTAAAGGGGCATTCACTGGTAAGGATACATTCTTTTCTGATGGTGTCTTTGCTACTATAGGCGTAGTTGGACTTTCCGTTATTTTAGAAGTAGCATTAATTGTATTTTCTCCTCTATTCATATTTCCGAATATCCAAATATCCGTTACAACGTCCGTTGTATCATGTTCTTTTTTACGATGATGTGAAAATTTTTCCATTTTAGTGAAATACTTATTACATCCATTCAATGTGCATACAACTAAGCTTGTATCGTAAATGGTTGCTTTATAACCGACACAATTAATAATATCATCCTCTGTTGTAATTTCATCAGCCTCTACGGGTTTCGATGCTGCGTATTTCACATTCTTTACCAATTTATTTTTTTCGGGTGCTTCTCCTTTTTGTAAACTATCTTTATTCGTATCTGATTGCAAAGTCGGTAATGTCGTTATTCGCGCCTTTCCTTTTTCTATTGTGTTCGCCTCAAGTGGTGTAGTTTTTTCTATGGATTTTGGTTGCGCGTTATCCAACTTCCCGTTTTTTTGCGTTTCGTTTATTACAGGGTCTTTGGTTAAACACTCGTCAGCTTGGGTATCTGTATCATTCATAGATAAAGTAGTTGTTTTAGGTGTCGAGTTACGGCGCGTTGGAACACTCTTCTTAATGGCTAAATGTTTAATAGGATTATTAGTTGGTGTTGAATCTTCTTTTGGTAAGGGACAGCTCTCCAACTCCATTTTGGAGATGGTATAAAGTTCCATATACTAAATATCAATTCAAAACTTATATTGTCCTGTATGTGTTTAAAAGAAAGCTAGTAAATTTGGTGACTTCCTAGATCCAATAAAGAGTGTGAAAGCTCAAACATGAAAAAGATAACAATTAATTTATTAAAAGTCCGTGAGTGAAACTTAGTTGTGGCGGCTATGTATAATGGGTTTAACTTTGTTTTGTTGACTTTTATGGTAAAAGAATTTGGCAAATTTTTATATGAATTACGACTAGTAGTCGGCTTGTAAAATCCGGAGTTATGAATTAGATTTACAATCAACTTGATCAATGACCACTTATTTTTTGTGGCTTGGATGATAGAAAATAATTTGACAATTCTCGAAAATTTTATTCGCAGAGCTTCAGAACGTGTAGATTTATTTAAGACTAAAATATATAAAATATATTCTTTTTCTTTCAATTGATGACTTCTTCAAAATCAAAGTATTGAATTTTTTTAAATACATACATTCTACTTTTGTTGTTTACGTGTACTCGCGCTAAATTTTGCAGCAATTTAAAAATAAAAATAAAACTAAAGGAATAAAAGTCGTGCCGACTTTAACTACATTTGTAGTCTGAAATATCGGCACATACCTCCAACACCTGAACATTTACCACTTGATCTCAGCTGGAATGTTGATCTTAACTACTTAACGAAACCTGATTCCTTTTTTGAGTCTTTTCAAGCCTCTCGTCTCCCTCTAATAAGTGATTATGACTTGGGAATGAAAACTGAACTTAGTGACTATCCAGGGCTATTTCTTGGAGACGAATCAGGTTTTGTTACTATATTTAATTTTATAGTTTCGTATTTTTTTTTTTTGTGAATTATATTTATTAATTTTTTTTTTTTTTAGGTTTAAATCCTCGAAGAGAAATTACTTCGTTTGATATGAATGATCAAGCACTGCTTTGTGTAGGTAAAGATCCGGTAACTATAACTCAAGATTTGCCAAGATTAAAAAGGTTGACAAAAAATGAGCCTAAAGAATGGCTAAGGCGTACACAATATTTAGATTCAGAATCTGTGTATAAAATAAATAAGTCATCTACAATGGAGAGTCGGTAAGTACCTCATTTATTTAAAAGGCTAAAGTTCTATATATATTACTTAATTAAATCGTAGAATTAACATTAATGAAAAAAGCGCTCATCCTTTAGTATGGCCGCTCTCAAGCCTAATTTAGATTTAGTAAATCAATCTCATGAAGAACAGATTGAAGCTATTGATAAAACTTTTGAAAAGGCAAATGATTTGGGATTTCTTTCAACATTAAAACATCCTTCAAATCCTTCATTGAAGGTGGAAGAAATTATTCCTGTATTTCCAGAATTTCAAGAGAGTTTACGTGGACAGAATAAATTTGATAGAGACCCATGGGAAGGATATGAATCTGAGGATGATGACGTGAGTAATGTTAAATAATTGAAGATTTAATTGCTAATATTTAAATTTGTCGCCTTGATTTATTAAATATAGGATAACGGGGAAGAAAAAGAATTAAGGATGAGCAAAGCTCTAATAATTCCGGGTGAAGATCGTCATGGCAAAAATCTATTTCGGTTGTATGTTCCAAGTATGGAATCCTCACAAAGGTTAATGCAAGTTAAAAGTTTTGAAGATACAAGTAACGAGGTGATTTTTTTTAGTTTATTTTATAATTCTTTTCAATTCATTCGCTTTAATTTTGTAATTAATTTATTTTATTAATATTACAGACATATCAATTTAAATGGGTTAGAGATTATAACATTGACAGTGATACTGTAATGGAAAATCAAGATTTATTATTTGTAGAGCAAAATCCAGCTGATGGAAGTGAAAAAATATTTTCATATTCAGAGCTTTATGTCGCATCTGTTCTTAAACGTAGAGTAAATACAATGGTAAATAAAATAATAATTGTCTTTTTTTTTTGTTTATTTTAATAAAATTATTTATTAAAATTGGTAGGAACGAATCCAAATGCCTGAAATACAAGGTGGTAGTACATACCTTAATGTAAAATATGTTTCGAATATTGAAAA